AAGACCCTGATGCTGGGAAAGATAGAAGGTGGGGGGGGGGGAGAAGGGGAAAACAGAGGATAAGATGGTTGGATGGCATCACTGACTCATTGGACATGAGTTTGAGTAAACTCTGGGAGTTGGTGATGGACAGGAAGGCCTGGTGTGCTGCAGTCCATGGGGTTGCAAAGAGTTGGACATGACTGAATGACTGGACTGAACTGAACTGAACTGAACTGAGAGGCTCCTACATCCTTTCCCTTCCTCTGTCTTCCAGACCTGTGGAGTAGCAGCTTCAAATCTCTCTCTGACTTCTGCCTCCATTGTCATATCTCTGTTTCTGACTGTGACCATCTCCCTCTCTCTTATAAAGATGCTCGTGATTACATTGACCCATTGGGATAATCTAGGATTCTCTCTCCATCTTATGATTCTTAGCATTTATCACATTGCATTGTAATTCATTGCTTATTTCTCTGTCTCACTAGATTTAATTATAAGCAGAGATCTTGCCTTATTCTCCATAGCATCCCCTTGTACCTAACATCTTGCCTACTAATAATTTTATGTTGAGTGGGTGAATGAAAATTAGTAATTGTTTCTATAACAGCTTCTGAATCTTGAATTTTCATGAATGTTTTTATTTTACATTTCTCATTGACCCGTTGTTGTTGTTATTCAGTTGCTCAGTCAGGTGACCCCATGGACTTCAGCACTCTTTGTGAGTGCCAGGCTCCTCTGTCCATGGAATTGACTAGACAAGAAGACTGGAGTGAGTTGCCATTTCCTTCTCCAGGGGATCTTCACGACCCAGGGATCAAACCTGGGTCTCCTGCTTGGTAGGTGGATTCTTAACCACTGAGCCACCTGGAAAGCCTGACAAATATAAGGCACATAATAAAACTGTGTAATGAGAGAATTAATCATTTATTAATCAGTAATGAGAGTGATGCCTTATTACCCTATTTTTTTTACAATTAATGTTTGGCCACACTAGGTGGCCTGCAGGATCTTAGCTCCTCTATCAGGGAGCAAACCTGTGTCCCCTGGGACTGCCAGGGAATTCCTAGCTTTACTTCTAACATGTATTTTAGGGGGAAAAAAAAAAAAACCCCACACTGAATCTTGTATGTAAATCCATTATTTCCTTGTTGTTGTGATGAAACCGAAAGCATGCTATTCAATTCCTGCCATTGGTCTATCAGTCAGCTTTTGCTGCAGTAATGAACAGCCCCTCAAATTTCTGTGGCTCACAGAAACAATTATTTATTCCTTTACGTGAGGGTTGTGGACTTGCAGTGGCTTTGCTGGGCATGACTAGGCTTACTGAATCCATTTGGGCTGTACTGGCTAGACAGGTCTTTAAATTCTTGGACAAGAGTCAGAGAAGCAGGCACTCCCTGGGATATGCTCTTTTTATAGTCAGGTGCCAAAGCTTAAGAAAGTGGGAGAAAGGAGGCAATCCATGCAAATGATGTAAAGCTTCCACTCTGATAATGACATATAGCATGTCCACTGGAATTCCATTGGCTAAAGAAAATCACATGATCAAGCTCAGTGTCAGTGCAGTGGAGAAATACACTCTGCCTACAGGAACTGCCTTCGGGAACCAGACTAAAGAGGAACAAAAAACTGTGAATCGATATAATCCACCATATTCTGCATCCTCTGTTCGTCAAAGCCACTATTTGGCCTTTTGTAATATTAATTACTCTTTAAGTATTTTAATTTGGAGTTCAATTTATGTAGCTTAAATAATATAGGTAATTATAGGGACTTCAATAGGATCTGTATAAGTAGGCCCCAGAGGTAAAAGTAAGCAGATTTGGGAAATTTAACTAAAGAAAAATGTTAATTTTTTAAGTATATAAATGTTTTCATAGGGGTTATGGTGGTAAGTTTTTCTTTACATCTATGGATGTCCAAGCCAGCAGAAAAGGATTTAATTAGAGATATTGGCATATAGTTACCATAAGGACCGATTTCTTGACTAGTCAAGTGAAAAAGACATGAAAGGGGCAAAAGTTCTCCCTAGTGGATAATTAAATCATTCATCTGTTTGAAAGAGGAAGGCTGGACCAGATGACAGATTTCTGCCAATTTTCTGTTTATAGTACTTTGAATTTTGAAATAAAGAAGCCCTTTAAAGACAAATGGTATTAAAACTCTTTTTACACTAGTAAAATGGCAGTGAGAAACTCAGAAGCTGGCTTAATGTAGAAAATAGCAAGCAAAACATATATGAGAGGAAAATATAACTTGTGTATTTACTATTTACTTTTGAGAGACTAAAATACCATAGTTAATTACATTTTTAATATATTCATTGGTCTTATACACACTTTCAAAAAACATTTAATAAGTACCTACTGTGTGTTGAGCATTGTGATAAGTTCTGGTTGGCTAAGAAATTATAATATAATTCATAGTTAAAAGATCTGATAAATCAGCTAGAAATGTCACAGATCAGTACCATGCTTCCTCAGAACTTTCCACTTGCCAATTAAAAGACAGTAGAATTTTAAACTATATTTTATGATGTACAGTTATGAAAATCCAAGTGCTAAAAAAATTACTGTCTTTCAGGTGATCTATACCTTTTTCTTCCTCAGGCATTTCCTTTCTTTCTTTTGTTTTTTAATTCAATGTAGGCCTTTCCCCCTCCCAGTTTTATTGTGGTATACTTAACAAAATTGTAAGATATTTAAATGTACAGTGTGATGATTTGATGCATATGATTTGATACATTGTGAAAGGAAATCCCCATGGAGATAACACACCCGTCACCTCTCATATTTTCTCTTTTTATTTGGATGAGAACACATAAGTTCTACTTTCTTAGCCAATTTCAGTTCTACGATAACATGCGCATGGAATACCTTTTTCCATCCTCTCACTTTCAGGCTGTATGTATCTCTAGGTCTGAAGTGGGTCTCTTGTCACCGTGTTATAGGTAAGATCCTGAGACCTTATTCATAACTGAATATTGATAACCATTAACCACCCTCTCCCAGTTTCAGTCAGTGCCTAGCCCCTGAAAACCACTTTGTACTCTCTGAGTTCCACTTTCTACCTTCTTTTTTTTCCCCTTTAAGATTCCATGTGTAACCAACACGGCCTTAAGCATTTCTAATGAGCTCTGAGGTGATTTTAAATGACAAGGGATCCTCTCTGACAGCAAATTATTGTTTTATTTGCTTTCCAGGTTGACTTGTGAGCAGGGCAAAGAGTGGTTCAAAGGCTGCTGCGGTGGTGGATGGATCTCTTTTAAGAAATGATCTCTTCTGAAAAGTCAAACAGCACAGCCTCATTCTGAATGGTATTTCATCAGCATGCCTGCCTGAGGAGCTCAGAACTTAGTAGCCTTCTTTTTTCACGAAAAGCTCCAGCTATGATTTTTTTTTAAACAACTGATATTTGCTGCAGTAGTTGCTGAGTGGCACTGCTGAATCTTAATCTGTGTACCAGCAACTGGAATGTGTTTGCGTGTTTGTTACAACCGGCCTGTGATAATCCTCGCTGACACTTCCATAGTGTTTATCAAGAGCCAAGCAGGTTGAAACACTTCAGAAGTACTGACTCATAAAATCCTCACACTAGGAGAGCAGGAGCTGTTTTGCTGTGCGATGTTATTCCCATTTTGCAGATGTGAAAACTGAAGCAGAGAGAGGCTATTTGCGTAAAGTCATGTGAGAGTAAATGGCAGGGTTGGCCTTTCAACTCAGGCCGAGCAGCTCCATTTTGCTGCCTTTTACAAAGCGAGTCCAATAACCTTATTAAAAGAAAAGCAAACCAATTCCAATTCCATTTGATATCCTACACTGGGCTTTCAACTTGATTTCTGGCCCATCTGGTTAGGACCATGAGTTTGTAATTGCATCCCTTAGGAGGTGGAGAACTTTTCGTAGACCCTATGTTGTTTAATTGCAAAAATACAGCTAAATGAATGACGACCGTTTAATTAATTAGGAAAGACTTGATTCGGGTCTAAAAGGACCAATCGTTCTCCAAGAATAGATTTAAAACGTGCAGTGGTGGGGAGCCAGTGAGGACCCCATCCAGGGTACGCGGACTTCACGCGGCACGCGGGGGACGCTTTCTCGGGGAGAAGACCCGTAGGAACAGGCGCGGCGCAGCCCGGGGCGCCTCGGGGACGTGAATCCCCAGGTTCCCCGCGGGTCTCCGGGCTCTCGGGCCTGAGCGCGTCGCTGCGCGCTCCTGGACCACCCTCCGCCCGGGGACTGGGCGCTGCGCCGGGCGTTTCTGCGCCGCCGCCCGCGACCCGAGGCTGGAGGCGGAGGGCGGGCACACCCCCGCCCCGCGCTCCCCGCGACCTTTGGGTACCAAGAACGTCAGTCTGTCTGGGGGGGGGGGTACCGGCTGGGACAGGAGAGAGGAGAAATGGGGGACAAGGCGTGCGCGGGCTTGAGCCCTCCCCGCCCCCCGTTGTCCCGCAAACCGCCGCCGCCGCCCACTTGGCCGCCCTTGCTGCGGCAGCGGCCGGAGGCTCGCTCCCGGGCCTCCGGGTCGCGCTGTCCGCGGAGCTTTCCGGGCGCCTGCCCTCCTCCCTCCCCCGCTTCGCCCGCCCTCCCCCGGGGCCCGACGTGCTCGTTCCCTGCCACTTCGGTCGGGGCGCGCCGGTGGGTTTGGCCTGCGCCGCGGCGGCGAGGCGGGGGAGCGAGTGAGCGCGAGGGGCGGGAGCGAGTGTCTGTGTGAGTCACCGGTACCTGGAGTGCGAGCGGCGCAGAGCGAGCGGCGCGGAGCCCGAGCCGGAGCCGAGCCCGAGCCCGAGAGCGCGGCCGACCCCCCCGGCGCCAGGCCCCGCTGCGCACCCACCCGCGCCGCCGCCGCCTCCCCACGCGCCGCGCCGCCCGCTCGCCCCCGGCCCCGCGCCCGGCCGCCCGCCGCCCTCCCGCCTGCCCGGAGGCGGTGCGGGGCTCGCCGGGGGATGTCACAGCGGCTCCTCGGAGCCCCCAGCCGCCGCCGCCGCCGCCCAGCCGCCGCCCCCGGGAACCGCTACAATGAACCCCCAGTGCGCCCGCTGCGGGAAAGTCGTGTATCCCACCGAGAAAGTCAACTGCCTGGATAAGGTGAGCGAGGGGGCGCTGGGCCAGCCGAGACCTGCCGGCTGCCGGGAGGCACCTGCTCGGAGAAGTTTTGGCATCTCGGTTGAAAAGAGAAGAGTGGGTTTGTGCCTGTGTGTGTGTGTGTGTGTGTGTGTGTATGTCTTGGCACCGGGTGAGGGCACACGAAGACGCCCGCAGGAGTGCCAGAGAGCGCGCGTGGCGACCGTGATGTTGGAACCGGGAAAGGCTTTTGTCGGGGTGCGGGCGGCGGGGGTGCGGCGCTGCGCCGGCGGCGGCAGAGCGGCTGCGGAGGGCGCCTGGCCGAGCGCGGCGGGGGGCCGGGCGAGCCGGGGCTGGGCCCCCAGGGGCAGTTCGGCTGGCCGCACCCCTCCCACCTCCACTCGGACCCCTCCCTGTCCTGCACCCGCGCCCCAGGGATCCGCCCGGGTCCCCACCTCACCCCCGCCCCAGCGCCTCCCACGAAGGCGGCGAGGTGGAGAGGCAAATAGTAATTAATATGTCATGGGGCGGCCGCTGCCGCATTGCTAAGAATAATCCCCGCCGGAGAGCCCGGGCTGAGCGCGGCGAGCCAGCCCCACGGGGGGCTAATCCACCCGGTTGGGAATTCCAGAGGAAGTGGCTTTAGCACAGCCCCTGCAGCTCTGCTTCCCTACCCTTCCCGGGCGTGGATGAAGTTTAACAGCCCAGGGGAGAGGACCCTGGCTCTATCCTAAGCCACTGATAATTGAACCCGGCCGAAGGCGGTCCCCGAGAAATTTGCCTGTGGTAACACAAATGCCTCTTAAGAGCACATCGTCATCCCTATAGTCATTCCAGACAGAGTCCATCCTCCTCGCAATTTAGTGGAAGCTGGACAGGCATGGGGAGGCCAGGGGTACCGACATAGTGCGCCTCTTGCCACCTCGGCTTGCCTGACTGACTTGCGGTGGACACTGTTTATCGAGATGCTCCGGACAGTTTAGGCACTTTGAACTGGATTCGTTTTCCTTGAGGCCACTTCACAGTCTCTATTTCTCCATTAACCAGGCGCAGAATTCTTTTTTGGCTGCTCACAGAGGTGTGATATGGGCAAAGCCCTTGGCATTTCTAACATCTGAGTCTGTAAATTGCGGTGGGGATTCATTTAAAACTCAGTTTTAATAACTGCCTGCTTTATTTACTTAACTGAAAGTCGGCAGACGTCCACTGGTACCTACAATCATTTTGTTGTAGTATTTTCAGATAGGAGGACTGAAAATGTCTCCTTTCTGTACCCATCCTGGAAAGAACTGGCATTGTACTGACATTTTAAACATTAATTTTTTTTTCAGTATTGGCATAAAGGATGTTTCCATTGTGAAGTCTGCAAGATGGCTCTCAACATGAACAACTACAAAGGCTATGAAAAGAAGCCCTATTGTAATGCGTAAGTATTGTCAAAATGGTGTGCCAGGTGCGGGCACAGTGGCAGAGCGGAGAAGTGAGTGGATCTGCTTGTTCTGAAGAATTGGCTTACTGTTGTTACCCAGGTGTGGCGGTGACCAGTTATCTGTTTATGCCACATGCTCTGGGGCCATGTACTTTGTTGAAGGTCATTGCATTTTTGTCTTTCTAATGTGCTGGGTAATTTGTGTGTGTTCAAACAGAAGGTTAGTTCTTGAGATTCAGTGTTGCAGAGTTAGAGACATTGGTTTGAAGCTGAGGAACTTACACACCTGAGTACATGCACGCTATGGAATGCATGTCAGATTTGCATTTTATTCATATGCAAGTCTCCATTTTAATCATATGGTGTTGCCATGCTACATTTTCTGCCCCAACCTAGTCGCTTGAAGAAAGGAGTCTTGCTCCTTTGGTCTTAGCTGAGACCGCTCTGGAGATGCTGGAGCTTAAACAGGGAAGCAAAGAATTGAGACCTGGGTATTTCCAACTGGTTAATAGGTCTGTTGGTGGGGATTAAAGTTGGTAAGTTATCTTTGTTGGGCTTTTCTGTTGGCATGCTTTCAATCTATGGTAATAGTGATTAGGTAGCATTTATACAGTGCTTATCATGTCTCAGGCCCTATTCTAAGCACTTTGTGCATGCTGACTCATTTAATCATTACAGACCTTACAGCTTAGAGGGTTATTGTTCCCATTTGTCAGATGAAGGAGTTGAGGCTTTGAGAGGATAAGCCTGGGTAAGGGGCTCAGATCACTCCTAGAGCCTGCAGATGGTCAGCATAGCCTAGTGTGTCCAAATGGCTACCTTGCCGTCCTCCACGTGTGTTTCTCCACTTTTTAAGCATCCTCCCACTCAGACTATTTTCAACTATGGGCTTTTAGCCCTGATAGCTGAGCCTTTTTCTTTCCAGTTCCCTTATGGGGGCTTATCCAGCCTGGAGGTGGCAGAGGAGCCCTAGCCTTCTGGCTGAAATATTGCCAGAGATTCATTCTCCTTGGAGTTTTGGAAACAGGTTCATTCAGGTCTCCTGGAGATGGAGGACCTGTGGTTCATTCCTGCTTCACTCATGGGAGTGATTTTTTCATAGATGGTAAATTTTTGGTAAACGGATGTAATGTGCTCATACATCTCTGGTGAATAATTAAGAATTTTTTTGTATTTCCTTTGGTCCTAGTTTAGTGTTTACAAATAGGCCAGAAACTTGATTTTTAAGAAATCAGAAAATGGTAGCATTGAACAGAATTCATGATTTGAATAAGTGAAGTCCACAGATAGTCCCAAACCACTGATGTTTTTAGCCCTCCTGTATCATGCCTCTTACTAGAATAACACAGAGCAATAAATGAGGCCCCAGTGTCATGGTCACCTGCTTCTCTTAGAGGTATGGAGGGTTGGTTAGAGATTAAAAGCAGGCAGCGGTAAGGAGAATGGAGAGCCCACCCCCCCACCATTCCACCCCTACAGCCCATAAACAGGATGATTGTTTTTTGGTTAAAGGAAAGTGAACTCTGTAACACTTCCAGCCTGTGGCCTGATTCCATCAGGCTGCTTGGGCCACATCAGAATTCTTTATAGCTTCCCAGTCTGAAGTTTAACCCGGTTATAAACTTTGGTGGCCTTGGAGGAATGGGGAGGAGGAGGGGAAAGACAGGAAGAGGAAAGCCAGGAAAGAGAAAAGGAGAAGACAGCAACAAATACATATGTATGTGCATAATGTATTTATGTGTGTATACATATGTATATAAGATATATGTATTCTGTATACATATGAGCTTCCCAGGTGGCTCATTGGTAAAGAATCTCCTGTCTTCCAAGCAGGAGACTCGGGTTCCCTTGGGTGGTGGGGAAGATCCCCTGGAGAAGGAAATGGCAACCCACTCCAGTATTCTTGCCTGGGAAACCCCATGGGCAGAGGAACCTGGTGGTCTGCAATGGTGTCTTCAAAAGAGTTGGACACGGCTTGGTGACTAAACAACAACAACAAATATATGTATACACACATACATAGACATACACACATGCTCACACACACAACTGAATGGGGGAGAAAAAAGATGATAAAAATAAAAAAGGACAAAAAAAAGAAGTGTAACTGAAGTGGAGTCTTTGACTGCTTTGGGTCACTTGAAAGTTCAAAGCTTACTGCTGAGTTTTGGTTCACTCCAGTTAGAAAAGACTATCAGATTCTGCAGCAAGTCATGGTTGGCTGGTTGGTCCTCTGACTTCATTGAACTAGTGCCCAGACCTGTGGAAATTTGGACCCCCAAACCAAAACCCTCTCTTTGTAGATAAGAAATATCCTGTTGTGTTGTTTCATAGGTCTGAGTCTTATTTTTAATACTTTAGCTGTATCTAAATGGAATGCTTACAGGTTTTCTCTCTAAAATTTCTTATGTACTTCTAGTGCTTTGTTATTATGTTTAAGTTGAGTTTTGGGGGTTAACAGCATCTCATGTTTTGCTTAATGTCGGAACTGGTGGTCCACTTCACAGAGCAGAGAGACAAGGGAAGACAGAAATCCATCTTTAGTGAGTAGAGTTGATGGCTTAAATGTTTAATTTAGTTTTACATTCATGTCACAGCTTGATATGCTGTCTCCCAGAAAACGAGCCTGGCAAGCTTGCAGGTTTTGCCTACTGTTCCAGGCTGGTAGGCCCCCTATTCTTGACCCTTATTTTTCCAAGGGCACAGGCTGCCACGAAAATTCACTGGTCAGCGTGGATTACCCTCTGGAGATCCCAGTGCCTTTGCTGTAAATCAGGTGCTGTGTGTCAATCAGCTGTTCCCTGTGGTCTTGGCCAGAAGGGCTGCCATCATTTCTCTGGGTCAGTGGTGGAAAATTGATTCTCTGAAGCATACTGCTACCGGAAAATGAAACATTCTATGTCCATGTAAAGTAATATTTTATCTGCCCCTGGTTTGGCTCAGGAGCGAATATATGTACATGCTTAAATGAAAATGACTGTTCTTCACCCCCTGTAACTTTTTATTGTGAAGATTTTCATACATACAACATGGTTAAAAGAATAATGCAATGAACTTCTATATACCCTCCATTGAGATGTAACTTTTCTTAACATTTTGCAGTATTTGCCTCATGTGTTTATCTAGTTATCTATCCAGATATATTTATTATTGTTGGGCCATTCATCAGTTTTAGGCATCATGTTAGTTTCATACATCAAGATATTTTATCCCTAAAAATGACATCACACAGGTACTAGAGTAAGAATATTTTTCTTAAGGAATTACAGAGCCAATATCACACTTAAAAATTTAACAAAAATTTCATAATAGCTTTTAAAATCTTATTCATATTCACATTTCCTTCACTATCCTAAGGATATCTTTTGTAGCTGTTTTTTTTTTTTAAAATTTAAATCCAGGGTCCAATTAAGGTTCATACTTTACATTCTGTTGTTATAAAAATGACAACTTTTCTTGATTACTGGAGATTCACCATCAGTTGTTTTATTTCTGCTATCATTTCTGTTGTTTTACATAACCTGTCAGAGCTTTCAGGAAAAGGACTTAAGTAGCATTTCTTGTAAAAACAATGCATGTAATTAACTTAAGAGCCTTTAAAGTAAATATTAAAATATGCTGAAAAAATTTGAAAGCATAAGCCGACATTTAGGGTTTTTTAAGAAAACATAAAGGCTTTTCATTTTAACTGATACCCAGGGGCAATTTTTTTTTAATGGAATAAAGTAGTGAGTATTTTCTTTAGTTTAAATGTGTTGCTTGTTTATATTCTCATGTGTTTAGAGAAGAAACAAGTTTTCTGTTTGATTTCATGCAAAGGAGAACATGTATAAAATATAATTTGCATACTATTTAAATTTTGATCTTTTGATAGAAAGATCAAAGTATAGTGCACACTGGTTGTAAGATTAGGCATGATACACATTTAGTTCCCAATGCAGCGGTGTACCCTATTAAAATATTTAAAAACAAACTGATCGACTTGAGCACATGCCATGTTTCCACAAGCCTTTATGTTTTATCAGCAGGCAGTAGATTCTTTTGCACATTCAAGATTTCTTCCCATCATGGAACTTGCAAAGAAAAGAGGACTAGGCGATATTTTTATTGCTAATAAACGCTGGGAACATAACACTAGCTGATTAGACAAAAAACACAGCTCATATCTGTAGGTGAATTAGTATGCCAAGTTAAACTATACATGTATTGCTACCCAACAAGCCCCACAGAGAATATAAACCCCTTAAGGCTGTTTGTCAAATAAATAATTTAACGTATTGTAAGTGCCAGAATTGCATTTATTATATGTTTGTAAAGAACATATTGGTTCTTAAGATATTCTGAGCAGTATCATCGCTTAGCAGTGCCAGTGACTGGCCATTTCATGTACTATCACAAAACATCACGTTATTTTAGGTCAGGGTAAGGGCCAGTTTATGATGCCATCTCTTAGTGGAACACTGCCAAAAATTTCCCCAAATCATCACTTTTTCAGGGAGTTTTGGGGGGCTGCCCATTTGTCCTGACCTGCCCACGTTTAATATCCTTTGTACCTATGTCAAGTGTATCTTCAGTTAGGGGCCTGAAGGAACACAAGTGTCTGTACTAAATATGCTTCATTATCCTTCCAAAGAAGCTTCCTTCTCACCAGATAGTTTCACTTAACATAATTTTGGAACAATTTAAAAATAAGCCAGCAGGAGCCGTTCACTGTGTTTACTTTTCACTCTGCCTGTGTTAGCATTCTGTCTTGTGAATATATATGGACTGTCTGCAGCCTGGAGGATGCCGGGCATGGTGCTCCTGGTTACGGGCCACTCAGAACAGTCAGCTCCGTTCAGCCAGCTTGCCGTGAGGGGTCATCTCGGCCAGCGAGCCAGCAGCTCTCATCTCCTGTTTCTCTGTTGGTTACTCTCCACCAGTGCCTTTACTAAGGGGACCTCAGAAGACACAGAAGGAAATTGAATTTAAACCTGAGAGGTTTTTCCATCACATAT